TGGAGTACAGTGGTGTGATCTCGGCTCACTGCAACCTCTGCCTCCCAGGTTCAAGCAGCTCTCCTATCTCAGCCTCCCAGTAGCTGGTATTACAGGTGCCCACCACCACACCTGGCTAATTTTTGTATTTTTAATAGAGATGGGGTTATACCATATTGGCCAGACTGGTTCTGAACTCCTGACCTGAAGTAAGCCACCTGCCTCAGCCTCCCTTACGTGTTTCTTATTGCAACATATTTAACATATTTGTTGGAATCCACCTGGGCTATTGCCTTTTTATCCTTAATGCCGCTTTTTTGTAATCCATTGTTGGATTCAGAAATGGAAACTACTTCCAAGGCTTTTTTAGAAGACAGGAAATTATATTCAACTTTGTAATTACTGATAACAAAGAGATCTTTCTATTCTTTGGCAGTGGAGGATGAGATTGATGTAGTTGCTGCTTTAGCTTATTGGAGGTGTGGATCATTTATTTTTGTTTTTGACTAGTCAAGTGCCTTTGTGAGAAGGGGGAAGTAATAGAACAAGGCGTTCTGTCTGTAACTGAACAGTCAGTTGTATTAACTCACTACCCTTAGACCAGTCAGTAATTATTTTAAAGCCCAAGATTATACCATATTTGTTTAACTATGGTTTCAATTTGTATCTTAAATTTATCTCAATTCTTTGTCCTAAGCAGCTCTCAGCTTTTTTTTTTTGTTTTGTTTTCTGTAGTAGTAAATATAAAGGCAGAAATAAAACACAATGCAGCACTTTGATGTCACATAAGAATAAAGCACAGAGTTCAAAGGTTTTTTTTTTCTTTCTGTAGTGAAGAGTAATATGAAAGATAGTTTTTAGATTTTAGAAAAAAGTAATATGGAGCTTTTTCCATCCTGGCTTCAGGCTTTATCATTTCATCGTTTTACATTAGCACATACTTATGCCGATATTCCATTCTTGTGATTATAGCTGTAGCCTCAACTTCAGAAGGAATGGTGACAAGAAAAGAAAAGATCTTAAAGAAAGATAAATAGTGCGATTTTTGGACTTCACCAATGGCAATATATTTAATTGTGTTTGAGGGATTCCTAGGAGGAATCAAAACACAAGGAAACAACTTACAAGAATTTATGAAGTATGAGCTTTGACTCCCTTGACCATTTTTAACTTGAATGGTGACATTCCAGATTGTTCTTGTTTTCAGAGTACATCCAAGCCATTATGATGATGGAGGAATCTGTTCAACATGTTGTCATGACAGCCATTCAGGAGGTATGTTGGACCTTCATGCTTATAGTTTATGAAAAATTAAAGGAGTGAACATGAGTATAAATAATATGAAGTAGAAAATCTGAAGAGATTCTCATGCTTATTTTTAAAGACTTTTTACTTTGCATTTGTGATATAACTTCTCTTGTTTTTATTCTAAAAAATTATACTTATTTAAACTTTTCAGTTTTATTTAAATCTTAAACATTTATTTTGCAGATATCAATATAACTATTCCTAATTTTTTAAAGTGCTCTTAATGAAATAGTAATAGCAGACTAACTGCTAAAGCTAATAATAAATAATATCTATCTTAAACCAGCAGTCTTCCTCACACTGAACTGGTGCTTTCCTGTTTGGCAGAAAATGGATTTTCACCTCCCACCATACCCAAAGCAATTTCTAGATGAATATTTATGTTTTAAACGTAAAACATAGGCCAGGCACGCCTGTGGCTCACACCTGTAATCCCAGCACTTTGGGAGGCTGAGGCAGGTGGATCATGAGGTCAGGAGATTGAGACCATTCTGGCCAACATGGTGAAACCCTGTGTCTACTAAAAATACAAAAAACTAGCTGAGCATGGTAGCACACGCCTGTAGTCCCAGCTACTCGGGAGGCTGAGGCAAGAGAATTGTTTGAACCTGGGAGGCGGAGGTTGCAGTGAGCCAACATAGCGCCAGTGTACTCCGGCCTGGGTGACAGAGCGAAACTCCATTTAAAAAAAAAGTAAAACATAAAAGTGAAAATGAAATAAAGACTAATAGCTGGTCAAGTTTAGGATGTGAGACTGTTTTAATCACAAAAGCAGTGGAAGAAACCCTTAAGAGAAATAGAGAAGTATATGCAGGACATGAATTATGCACCTAACATAGAAAAATACAAATGACAAACATGAAAAATATTTAATTAAATACAAATTAAGATGAAGTTGTGCCTAAAACCTTTTTTCACAATGACTTCTGACACCAACTACCCAAAGTTGGGCTAAACTTCACAGATTTAAAGGCATCATTCTCCACAGACTGCCCATAGTTCGGAGGCCAGCTCCAGGCTCAAGGGTCTCCAGGGCACCCTGTCATCTGACCAACTGCCTACAAATTCAAGGATTCCCACTATCCCCGCACATTTCTGTAATTTACTAGAACAACTCACAGAAGTCAGGAGTAACAGCTTTATTATAGCAAATAGATACAAATCAAATTAAATGTGATTCTGAATTGTTAAGTTTCTGTTAAACCAAAAAATGCATAGGGTAAGGTCAGGGAAGGTCCCAAATGCAGTTTCTTTTGTCCCCACCCCATGGAAGCAGAATGCAGGGTACTGCCAACCAGAGAAGCTCACCTGAGCTTTTATATCCAGAATCTTTATTGGGGTTTCATTACATGGGTATGTTTGATTGAATCAGTTACCATGATGTCGAAATCAATTTTCAGCCTCCTTTGTTTCCCACAAGTCAGGTCGATAACAAAGCTCCAACCTTATAATCACATGATTGGTCTTTCTGGATTGGCCAGCTCCCATCTGGAGTCATCTCTTTAGCTTAAACTATCTAGGGACCCACTATGAGTAGCAAAGACAACTCCTATCTCTAGGGAAATTCTTTATTATCCAGCAAAGCTTTTAAAGAGTTCGTTGGCTTAGCAGTTAGCACTGATGGCAGGCATGAAAACTGATACATCTTTTTAAAATGTTATCCCTTTTTATATTATATAAGATTAGATTTGGTCATGTTAAAATACCAAAACATCAGTTACACAAGCAAGGTAAGAATTTAATTGGCTCTCCAGTGGTCCTGGGTTGTGGAGCCTCTATAGTCACCAGGAACTCAGCTTTCTTTTATCTTGCTGCTGTGCCGTTCTTAATACATGATTCCCAGCTAGTGGTTCAGTGCTAGTTTTCACATTTATATTTCCACCCAGCAGAAAGGATTGAGGAAAGGGTTATCCACCTCCTGCAAGTAAATTTGCAGGAATTCTTACTCCTGTTAGCCACGTATTACCCACCTAGCCACATGGGGGAGTTTGGGAAATGGGGTCCTTATTCTAGATAGTGTGGACCCAACAAAAATTTCAGGATTCTGTTACTAATCAAGAACAGGGAAAAGAATAAGAGAACTGCCAACCATTCTGCCTTATTGTAGTTGATCCTGTAATTCTACTTTTAGGAATTTATCCTTTAAAAAAAGTGTAAAATACAAAGATACATAATAGTAGTTGTAAGAAGCATTTATCTAGCATCTACTGTGTGCTACCTCGGGCTGTGACCAAGCAATTTCCATTTGTTAGCTCATTTAAAATTCAGTACACTTGCCATTAATGCCTCCAAATTTATACTTAAAATGGTTAAAATGGCAAATTTTGTTACGTATATTTACCACAGTAAAGAGGAAAATTCACTACAATCTTGTGAGGTATAATTATTGTCTTAATTTTATAAAAGGAAACTGCAACAGAGTTTGAGTAACTTGCTCAGGTTTACACAGGAAGTAGTGACAGAGGTAGCACTGCTGTCTAAGCAGTCTGAATCCAGAGCCCATGCCTGTACCCATTGTGCTGTATTTTCTCAATATAGTGTGCTTCAGTATTGTTTCCTAGTACTGAAGCATTAGAAATAACTACCCAAGAGTAGGGCAATGGATAAATAAATTATGGTATAACACTATACTGGCATATTACATAGGCATTGAAGCATATCTTTGAAAAATATTTAATGATATAAGGGAAAGCTCATATTAGGTTTAAAAAGGTAGATACAAAGCACATGAACAAAATGATCCCATATCTGTTAAAAATTAAGGTGAGGGGAAACAAACTTACTTAATGTTAACTCCCCAAATAGCTGAATTTTCTTTACCCTTTTCTATATTTTTAAATTTTTCTATAATGACAGGTGTTATATCTATAACTAGGAATGTTTTTAAAATTAAATCTGTCACCACATGACTTTCTATGAATCTATCCCAAGGAATTATTTAAAAACTCAGACCAAGACTGGACACAACAATGTTTATCAAACTATTGCATGTTAACAGAAATGTGAAAACAGTGTCTATCCATTGGTAAGCTAGTGTTTAAATTGTGGTACGTCCATATGATGGAATAACATATAGTTGATTAAAAAGTGTAAAAGGATATCTTAGGACAGAAGGAAAAATTTTTAAATGTCAAATGACCAGAATAAGATATAAAGTTGTATATAAAATAGAATCCCAATTAGATTTTTAAAATTGGTTATATTCATTTAACATATACTTATTGAGTACCCAGTATGAACCAGGCACTGTAGTCAGCACTAGGGATACAACCATGAAAAGGACAGACATGGTCTCTTGCCTCACAAAGTGTAAGTCTCATAGGAGATGCTGGAAGAGACAAAACTGAAAGCACAGTGGGGGATTAGTCTTGGATGAGAAGAATAGGCCTTGTGTTGTAACAGAAATGAAGAAAGGAAGGGGTGGGCATGCCTGTCGCTAAGTTTGTAAGTTAGGATGTAGGAAATTCTTGCCTGGAGGCAAGATAGTCTGATGATGAATGTAGGTGAGTTGGTGAGGTTTGAGAAACAAGAGCAATGTGGAATAATCTCTGATGAAAATGAGGCTGCTGGCTGGGGAAAACAGCAATTTTTTTTTTTTTTTTTTTTTTGAGACAGAGTCTTGTTCTGTTGCCTAGGCTGGAGTGCAGTGGCATGATCTCGGCTCACTGCAACCTCTGCCTCCTGGGTTCAAGTGATTCTCCTGCCTCGGCCTCCCAAGCAGCTGGGACTACAGGTGTGTGTCACGAGGCCCAGCTAATTTTTGTACTTGTAGTAGAGACAGGGTTTCACCATATTGGCCAGGCTGGTCTCGAACTCCTGACTCGTGATCCACCAGCCTCGGCCTCCCAAAGTGCTGGGATTACAGGTGTGAGCCACTGCGCTTGGCCTAACAGCTGTACTTTTTGAGCAGCGTTGAAGGTCCCGTTGAGATTAGAAACTTATTATTAGTGACACCAGTTTTGTGGTTTGTAAAAATTTTTTACCCTCAGTAGACTTGACCCTTAAACAACACATATCTACTTTTCTGCAGGTTTGGATTGCACAGGTCTACTTCTATGCAGTTTTTTTCAGCCAAACACAGATGGAATATACATTCTTTATAGGATGTGAAACCCACATATACAGGGGGCAGCATTTCACATGAGCAGGTTCTTCAGGGCTGCCTGTGGGACTTGAGTGTGTGTGCATGTTATATGCCTGAGTCCTAGAACCAGTTCTTCATCTATACCATGGGATGACTTTAACAGTCAGGGTATAGGTAGCATGTAAGTAGTTGCAGTTGGATTAATCTTGGAGTGAGATTTTGCCGTAAAAAATAAATGAGGTAAGAGGAGAGTTGAGGATATTGACAAAAGTCGTAGAAGGACATGAAATCTAAAGAAAATAATTTTTGGATAAACAAATGATGAACCTAGGAATCTGAAGTAGAGGGGACAGTTCCCAAGGGTAGACAATGTTAGCAGAAGAAACAGGAGTAAACATAGGCAGGCAAAATCAACAGTGTTCACTATCAAGTCAGAGCTAAGTGAGGAAGAAAGTAAAACAATGATGGGCTAAGACTGAAGGACAAGGAGAAAGTATGGAGGGATGGGGCCCAGAAGTCTTACTGATGTTGAGGAACAGATAAAATTTAATGAGAGGCCTAGGATGAGAGAGATGGTTGTGCTCAGAATAGGATACCTAGATTTTTATTGAGAGCTGTTGGTGGAATCACAAGATCTCAACAGTATATTCCTATGTCTCTTTTTCTTTTAATAGATGTGGTCTTGTTACATTACCCAGGCTAGAGTGCAGTGGCTATTCACAGGTGTGATCACAGTTCAGTGTAGCCTCCAATTCCTAGTCTCAAGCATTCCTCCCACCCCAGCCTCCCAAGTAGCTGGAAATAGAGGCATGTACCACTACACCCAGCTATACATCCCCACATTACATTACCCTCTCCCATTTGTTCTTAAAACAGAATATAAGAAGGAAACAGTAGAAGATGGGGGCCATTTGAGTCTCTTCCTGACAGTTGTCATAACCAGAATTCTCTTCCCTTCTCCCCAGAGATCCTGAAAATCTCTGGATCTTCTTTCTTTGCCCCATAAGGGTTAGGGAGTTAGTGTGTGTGTGTGTTATCATTAAACAGTAGCCAATAATTTTGGCTAATTATTGATGTCTTCATTTATTCTTTAGAAATAGTGTTGCTATTATTCTGAGAAGTCACTATTTTTAAGTATGTAGCCACATTTTAACTTTAAAGACTTGTCGTTTTTTTGATGAGAATAAGTGATACTAGATTCTTATTGCTAGGTTTGCAGTGAAAATGAGCATCAGAATTTAGACTTAATTTATTACGTTATTTCTTTTTTTTTTTTTTTTTCTCACCCTAACTTACAGTGCTGATAGCCCTCTAATTTTAAATGAAGGCATTAGTCTGGAGTGGGGACAAAAAAAGTTCCAGACTCAAAAGCTTTAATGGAAAGTGTTTTACATCTGTGTTTTCATTTTAATTTTTACAATTCTGTAGTGGCTGGGTGTTCATTTTCTTGTCTTATTTTATGTAGAATGCCTTTTTTTGCCGCATAGTTATAATCATTTAAATCTTAATTTCAGCTGATGAGTAAAGAATCTCCTGTCTCTGCTGGAAATGATGCCTATGTTGACCTTGATCGCCAGGTATATAATTTTATCTTGTTTTTATTCATGAAAAGTTGAAAAGGATAAGCTTCAGATGTTAATGAGAAGAAAGGATTAAAATTGCTTTTGAATTACATTGATATAATCCTTTGTATTTTACCTAAATTTTTAATAACATAAGCTATTTTTCTAATGAAATGTACACATTTATAATTAAGTTTGTAATTTATAATAAAATTCATTTGCAATTAAAGTGCCATTGCATAACCTACTTTCAAATAGGTTAATTTTTTAAGTTTATTGTGACTGCTGTTTTCTAGTCATGAATTTTTATTTTTCTGTTAGTGATAACAATGTGCCACATTTAACACAATAGATGTTATAACTTCTTATGATTATATGAATTATAAGAATAAATTCATGTCATCTAGGAAAATGAAATATACAGTTGTCATTTTCTAGGAAAATAACATGTCAAACTCCTGGAAAATGACATAAATTTATTTTTATGATTTATATATAATGCAAAAGATACTTACTTTTATTTCCTTTTGTCAGTTGAGGATGTCTTCTCAATTCCACCCCTCATTTCTGTGAAGTAATGAATAATTAAACTATATTTTTAAAGGAATCCTGCAGTGTATTTTTGTGATTTTAACAGAAAAGTTACTTTGTACTTCTAAATATCGCTTCTTAATGAAGTGTTAATTACACTGTCAGGTTCTGTGTTCAAGCTATTTTGGACATCTTTTGCAGTACAGGAATAGAAAGCTTTGTATTGTTTGTCTTCTTTTACTTTTTCCCCATGGTTTCTAAATGTTTTTCAGGGAAACCGGTGGACATGTTGCAATTTTAGCCCATGCTTTAGTTTTAAGCCCTGCACACATTAGGTATTTGTTCTAATGCTCTCCTTCCCCTTACCCCAGAATAAGGTTTTAATATGACTAAAACACTTGTATTAAAATGTTCTAGCTGCATATTTTAACAATTAAAACCCCTATTCCTCTAGCACTTACATATTTTACGATGGAAGAATTTCTCAGTTATTAAGGAATCAACCTTACAAGAACCAAGTAGTCTAGAGCAAAGAAGATGCATAAGAAAACTTGATACACAGAATGAGCCAAAATCAAATGACAGAAACGACAAGACTTAGAGTAAAAGAAATTAATTTAAGTTAAAAGTGCTGTCTTTGTACCCTTGTACAGGATTCTTGATTTCCCCCTGCATCCTTTTCTTTTCAGGAAAGAAAGGGGGGAAATGTTTTAATTCTGTGTTGAACATATGAATTATTAATTGCTACCACTTCATGTTGAAGTGTTTATCTCTTTGTTTCTAACCAGCTGAAGAAAACTACAGAGGAACTAAATGAAGCTTTGTCAGCAAAGGAAGAAATTGCTCAAAGATGCCATGAATTGGATATGCAGGTAAGAGATTTGTTCTGTGCACCATCTCTTTGAAATGTGCCACCGTAAGTACCACTAAATGTACTGTGTACTGCCATATAGTACATCTTTTTAAATTTTTATTTATTTATTTATTTATTTATTTAGAGACAGAGTCTCCCTCTTGTCTCCAAGGCTGGAGTGCAGTGGTGCAATCTCGGCTCACTGCAACCTCCCCCTCCCAGGTTCAAGTGTTTCTCTTGACTCAGCCTTCTGAATAACTGGAATTACAGGTGCATGCCACTACACCTGGCTAATTTTTATATTTTTAGTAGAGGCAGGGTTTTGCCGTGTTCGCCATGCTCATCTAGAATGCCTGACCTCAGGTAATCTGCCAGGTTTGGCCTCCCAAAGTGCTGGGATTATAGCCGTGAGCCACCACACCTGGCCTTAATTTTATTTTTTTGAGACAGTCTTGCCGCGTCACCCATGCTGGAGTGGAATGGCGCGATCTGGGCTCACTGCAACCTCTGCCTCTTGGTTCAGGTGATTTCTCCTGTGTCAGCCTCCCAAGTAGCTGGGACTACAGATGCCCGCCACCATGCCTGGTCTTGAACTCCTGACCTTCTGATCTTCCCGCCATGGCCTCCCAAAGTGCTGGGATTACAGGTGTGAGCCACCACCCCCAGCAGTGCATCTTAACTATAATGCAACCCATTTTTAGGGAAAAAAAGGTGGGGCGCAGTGACTCACACCTGTAATCCCAGCACTTTGGGAGGCTGAGGTGGCAGGTCACTTGAGATTAGGAGTTCGAGACCAGCCTGGCCAACATGGTAAAACCCCATTTCTACTAAAAATACAAAAATTAGCTGGGCGTGGTGGCAGGTGCCTGTTATCCCAGCTACTTGGAAGGCTGAGGCAGGAGAATCACTTGAACCCGGGAGGTGGAGGTTGCATTGAGCGGAGATCATGCTGCTGCACTGCAGCCTGAGTGTCAGAGACTCTGTCTCCAAAAAAAAGAAAAACAGGTTTCTGGTTAAAGATGGCAGACTGAGCAAAGATGGTAATTTCCTTTCGTTTCTTTCCAACTCTGTTACATTTATAATAAATGACTTGAAATGGTCTAAACCCCCACAAAGAAAGAAGAGACAGAGAAGGGATGTCAGCATAGACGACATTTTTTGGTGTACTAGTAAACTGGCTCTCTGGAGGTGTGAGGGAAATTCTTTAAGGCCCTGATTTATAGTGTGTGCAAATTTCAGTGGTATAAATACTCTCACAGTGGCTGTTTCAGGATATTAGTGGTTTCACAGCCAGCTCCAGCACACCATCAGTCTTCATCCACCTCCAAAAGCCAGAAGGCAGTTAGAAAAATGCTGGATGACTGAAAGGAGCAAAGAATGTAGTGGCCAGGGACACCTGTGGGTAGTGGAAGGCGTTGCTGTAGTAGAGCCCCAGAGAGACCATAGGTATGGTGGCACACTGAAGTGAGGCCATGACCAAAAGTGTTATATAGAATAGTTAAGCCCCTCATTTGTGTCACCCACTATACAGAGACTGACCTGTAGCCAGGGTCCAAATTAGTGGGTTCTTTTCTTTTTCTTTCTTTCTTTCTTTTTTTTTGAGACAGAGTTTCGTTCTTGTTGCCCAGGCTAAAGTGCAATGGTGCAATCTCGGCTCACTGCAACCTCCATCCCTCGGTTAAAGTGAGTCTCCTGCCTCAGCTTCCCGAGTAGCTGGGATTACAGGCATGCGCCACGATGCCCAACTAACTTGGTACCTTTAGTAGAGACGGTACTTTCAGTTTAGTCAAACTCCTGACCTCAGGTGATCCACCCACTTCGGCTTCCCAAAGTGCTAGGATTATAGGCATGAGCTACCACACCCGGCCTTAGAGGTTCTTTTATAAAGAGATTAAACAAAGGCAAGTATAGAGAGGTTAGAGTGAGTGATTGGGTACGGTGGCCCACACCCCTAAGCAAAGCCCAGTACTTTGGGAGGCCGAGGTGGGCAGATCACCTGCAATCAGGGGTTCAAGACCAGCCAGACTAACATGATGAAACCCCATCTCTACTAAAAATACAAAAATTAGCTGGACATAGTGGCCAGCGCCTGTAATCCCAGCTACTTGGGAGGCTGAGGCAGAAGAATCACTTGAACCCGGGAGGTGGAGGTTGCAGTGAGCCAAGATCACACCTTTGCACTCCAGCCTGGGAGACAGAGTGAGACTCCATCTCAAAAAAAAAAAAAAAAGGAGGTTAGAGTGAGTATAGCATTATAGCTTAAGGTCCTTTTTGTTTTGGCGTTTCTGGGTTCCCTAGATAAAAGCCAGCTTCTTGTGGATAAGCCCTAAAGTAAAGCCCATGAGTGCAGAGCTTCCTGTGACCTATGCTGTTCACTGATTTTTTTTTTTTGAGACGGTCTTGCTCTGTCACTAGGCTGGAGTGCAGTGGTGCAATCTCGGCTCACTGCAACCTCTGTCTCCTGGGTTCAAGCAATTCTTGCACCTCAGCCTTCCAAGTCGCTGGGACTATAGTTGCATGCCAACGCACCCAGCTAATTTTTGTATTTTTAGTAGAGATGGGGTTTCACCACGTTGGCCAGATTGGTCTCAATCTCTTGACCTTGTCATCCACTTGCCTCGGCCTCCCAAAGTGCTGGGATTACAGGCGTGAGCCACCAGGCCTGGCTACTGATTCTTAAGTATAAAGAATACCTGCATTTCAAAAGAGAAAAGAATCCGTATAAACAGAAAACTAGCCCTAGAGAAAGTAGAGAAATTTTAGGGAATAGGAGAGATTTTTGTTTAATCTATTTAATACCTTCAATGAATATATTGTACCTATAAAATACAAACAAGATGCTATTTTAAAAAGGAAAAATCAGGCTGGGTGTGGTGGTTCACACCTGTAATCCCAGGACTTTAGGAGGCCAAGGCAAGTGAATCACCTGAGGTCAGGAGTTCGGCCTGGCCAACATGATGAAACCCCGTCTCTACTAAAAATATGAAAACTAGCCAGGTATGGTGGTGTGCACCTATAATCCCAGCTACTCAGGAGGCTGAGGCAGGAGAATTGCTTGAATCCAGGAGGCAGAGGGTGCAGTGAGCCAAGATCATGCCACTGTACCCCAGCCTGGATGATGGAACAAGACTATCTGAAAAAACAAACAAAAAAAACACCAAAGGAAAATCAAAGCTAAAGAAACACTTAAGTATATAAAAATAAAACTGTTGAGCTGGACATAGTAGTTCACTCTTGTAGTCCCACCTACTCAGGAGGCTGAAACACGAGGATCGCTTGAGCCTGGGTGTTAAAGGCTGCAGTGAGCTATGATTGTACCACTGCATTCCAGCCTGGGTGACAGATTGAGACCATGTCTCTAAAAAATGTTTTTTAGGTAGAATTGTCAAAATGAAAAAATTCAAGAGAACAATTAAAGATGAAGTTAAGAAAATCTTTCACAAACAATAGACAAAAGTAAGATTATTTGTCTGGAATTTACTTTGACTAAAGTGGGGGATAAGGGAGTGTATTGACGTACATGAGAAACATAGTTGGCCATGTTTTGGTACTTGTTATTGCTGGCTTATGCATATGTAGAGTTCATAATACTTTGCAAGAGAAGAAGCATTTTGCTTTGAAAGGCATTCGAGTTAGTCATTGCATTGGGTGCATATAGAAGAAAGCACATCACACTTGTTGGGTTATCTAGGAAATAATATTTACATAATCATAATGTAAGTGCTGTTAATTGCATTTTAGATTCTAGAATTTATATACAAATGCTGTTATAATATTTTTATAAGCAGAATATAAATATCTTTAATAATATAAAATTAAATTTATATATGGGGATTGGCAAACTACAGCTTGCCATCTGTTTTTACAAATACAATTTTTTCATAGCTCCTTTATTTACGTATTATCTGTTGCTACTTTCATGGTACAATGACAGAGTGGAGTACTTGCCTAAAACATTTATAGTATGGTCCATTACACCAGAAAGTTTGACAGTGCCAGGTACGAACAGACTGCAAAATGAATGACAGTGTTGCAGAGAGGTTATGAGAAGCAAAGGGGTAGCCCTACAGCATGTTTTGCTGTGCAGAAAACAGCAACACAGTCATAAGCATGTAATCTCTAATGTAAACCTTATTAGTTTTCAACATTTAGAATTGTCCTATAGAGAAACATTATTGTAAAAGTTAAGATGCCAGTGATAGAGTTTGAGAAGTAAAACAGGAGTGATAAAGGAAAGGGAGAGCCAGAAATGATGGCTTTCATCCTACCAAGTAGGGTATCTAGAACCACTTCTCCAAGAAGACAGTCATTACATGGCTGGCTGCTCCTTGTCATGCAACCTCAGCTTAAAAATCACCTGATTGATTTGTCATAAAATGTTAGGCACTTGGATGCATCAGGCACTAAAGTAGGTCTAAAGTAAGTCTCTTCAGGAAGGCCTTCCATGGTTGAGCAATCCAAAATAATCACCCAGTCATTTCTGTTGTTCTAATTTTAACCCTCTGTGTAGTAGGCTGTTTTTTGTATTGCTATAAAGAAATACCCAAGGCTGGGTAACTCATAAAGAAAAGATGTTTAATTGGCTCACAGTTCTGCAGGCTTTCCAGCATGGCTCCAGCATCTTCTGGCGAGGGCCTCAGGAAGCTTCCAATCATGGCAGAAGGCAAAGGGGAAGCCGCTGTGTCACATGGCGAGAGCAGGAGCAAGGGGTGGAAAGGTGCCACACACTGTTAAACAACCAGGTCTTGCAAGAACTAACTCACTTATGAGGATAGCACCAAGCCATTCATGAGTGATCCAATGCCGTGATCCAGACACCTCCCACCAGGCTCCACCCCTAACATTCGGGACAACATTTCAACATGAGATTTGGAAGGGATAAATATCCAAACCATATCACTCTGCATAGCACTTCCTATTCTAGTTTTTACATGTATTTCTTAATTCACTTTCTTGTGTAGTGATTTATTTTTATTTATATATTACAATTTTTTTCAAATATATAACATATGAGTAAGAACTTTCCTTTTTTCATCACTGTATCCTGTGCACTTAGAAAAGTGCAACCATACCTAGAACATAGTAGGTGAGTTAATGAGTGGGTTGGTGACTGAGTGAAATGAATCAGTAAGTAATTTAAAGTTCCAGAGGTGATCAGTGAAGGAAGTCAGAATAGTGATTAACTATATTTGTGGTAGGAAGGAATGGCACAAGTTGCTGTAATCAAACATGTCAGAGGAGAAAAGTCACTAGTTAATGTCTAAGGAGAGAGTCACTAGATGTCTAATGCTAAGTCAAGAAATAATTGTGTGTAATATTATTTAGATAGGTAAAGTAACAACCAAAAGCAATAAAATTAGGAGCAGTAAAAACTAGCCTCTGGAGAGTGGGAAAACTCCATAGGAAACTATAGCTTTTCACTATAAGCCCCTTTGCTTTGCTATTTTTTAAATTAATCATGTTTATGTTTGTTTTGTTTTTTGAGGCAGAGTCTCCCTCTGTCACCCAGGCTGGAGTGCAGTGGTACAATCTTGGCTCACTACAACCTCCACCTCCTGAGCTAAAGCAATCCTCCCACCTCAGCCTTTGAGTAGCAGGGACTACAAGTGCACACCACCACACCCAACTAATTTTTTTATTTTTTGTAGAGTTGGGGTTGCACCATGTTGCCCAGGCTGGTCTTGAACTCCTGAGCTCCAGTGATCTGCCTGCCTCTGCCTCCCAAAGTGCTGGGATTACAGGTGTGAGCCACCATGCTTGGATCATCATTTTGTTTTTTGAGGCAGAGTCATGCTCTGTCATTAAGGCTGAAGTGCAGTGGCATGATCACAGCTTGCTGCAGTTAACTTCCTGGGCTCAAGTGATCCTACAGTCTTAGCCTTCCAGATAGCTGGGGCCACAGGCATGTGCCACCAGGCTTGGGTAATTTTTTTTTTTTTTTTGGTAGAGATGGGGTATTGTTATGCTACCCAGGCTGGTCTCAAACTCCTGGCCCCAAGCAGTTCTACCACCTTGGCCTCCCAAAGTGCTGGGATTATAGGCGTGAGCCACTGTACCTGGCCTGTTTTGTTTTTTGAAACAGGGTCTTGCTCTGTCATCTGGGATGGCGTGCAGTGGTAGGATCATGGCTAACTGCAGCCTCGACCTCCTGGACTTGAGCGATCCTCCTGCCTCAACCTCCTGAGTAGCGGGGACCACAGACATTCATCACCACACCTAGCTAATTTTTTATTTTTTGTGGAGACAGTGTCTCACTGTGTTGCCCAGGCGTTCTCCAACTCATAGCTTAAGTAATCCTCCTCCCTCAGCCTCCCAAAGTGCTAGGATTATAGGCATGAGCCACCATGCCAGCCAGTTTATGTTTTTGAAATTTGATTCTTTTTGTCTAAAAAGGATGTTCTGCCATATATATTGACTTTTTTTGTCTGACTCCTTACATTATTTTGAGATTATCTATGTCGTAGCTATAAATTATTAAATTTTCTATTGCTGAGTAGTATTCTTTAATACAGGTTGAGCATTCCATATCTGAAATTGGGGATATTTTTGGATTTGGGGATATTTGCATTATATACTTACTGGTTGAACGTCCTAAATCCAAAAATCCAAAAGCTAAAATAGCTCCGATGAGCATTTCTATTGAGTGTCATGTGGGTGCTCAGAAACGTTCAGATTTTGAAGCATTTCTGAGTTTGGATTTTTGGATTTGGGATCTTCAACCTATATGGATATACTGCAAATCATTTATCCATTTGTTGGTTGGCAAACGTTTGGATGGTTTCCAGTTTTTCTCTGTTTCAAATGAAGCTACTATAAACATTCTTCCTAAGTCTTTGTGTGCGCATATACTTTTATTCTCTTGAGTAAATACCTAGGAGTTGGATGGCTAAATCAGTCATGTGGTAGTTGCATGTTTAATTCTTTAAGAAACTGCTAAATTATTTTCCAAAGTGTTTGAAACATTTTGTATTCTCACCAGAAGTTTCTTTGCCAACACTTGGTACAGTCTTTTTAATTTTATTTATTCTAGTGGGAGTGTAGTTATATAATATTGTGATTTTAATTTGCATTTTCTTGATAACTAATGATTATTTTTGTGCTTATTGGCCATCTCTTTTTCTGGTGAGTCATTTCTTCAAATATGAAATGAATGAATTGTTACTCTTACATCTTGTTTTGCATGTGCAGTATTCCAAAATGACATAAATGTTTTAAGTGGAGATTTATTGTACTTCTTTAAAAATAGGCTTTAATTTTTAATGGTAATAATAATCCACAAGTGATTGAGCTTGATGCCAGTGTAATTGGAGGAAATAACTGCCATCGTCCTGTATTCCAACAGGTTGCAGCATTGCAGGAAGAGAAAAGTAGTTTGTTGGCAGAGAATCAGGTATTAATGGAAAGACTCAATCAATCTGATTCTATAGAAGATCCTAACAGTCCAGCAGGAAGAAGGCATTTGCAACTCCAGACTCAATTAGAACAGCTCCAAGAAGAAACATTCAGGTAAAAGACAACTCATTAAAATGATTTTTAAAAATTTGTTAGCTGTCATTTAAAGTTAGTATATATTTGCTGGGCCCTGTGGCTCACACCTGTAATCCCAGCCCTTTGGGAGGCTGAGGCAGGAAAATCACCTGAGGTCAGGGATTCGAAACCAGCCTGGCTAACATGATGAAACTCCATCTCTACAAAAAATACGAAAATTAGCCAGGCGTGAAGGCAGATGCCTATAATCCCAGCTACTTGGGAGGCTGAGACACCAGAATTGCTTGAACGAAGGGTGCAGAGATTGCAGTGAGTCAGGATTGTGCCATTGCACCCCAGCCTGGGCAAAAGAGCAAGACTCTGTCTCAAAAAAAAAAAAAAAAGAGTATAGTGTTAGGACTTCTGGGAAACTGCAGACCAGTAAGGTTGCATAATAAACATCTTTGCAGAATCTCCTCATACAACACGAAACTACTTCACATCTAGGAAATGTTCTATCAGAGTGCCACCCTCGTTATTACTTGAAGACAGAATGCCCCAACTGCAGAATAACTGTGAGTGGGAGAAGAATCAGACACCAGCCCTGCACCCGACAGGGAAACAAAGGCGACTGAACAAACATTCAAGAAAGACAGAGGAAGAACATTCATAAAGGGCCGTGAAGGCGAGTTGGCATGATCACCAGAAAGATTAAATTTCACTGAAAATCTGAAATGACTTTCTTTTTTGGAAAAGTAATGGTCAGACCAGACCATAAACAAACCACAGATTAGGGATTTTAAAGTAAGCACATCTTTGGGAGGGGCCAGATGTCATGAAAAGTTGCAGGCAGGTATTTTTAAAAGACAGATGCATTTATAGATTAATAGAACTCTGTATACGTCTCCGTGTGTGTGTGTGTGTGTCTGTGTGTCTGTGTGTGTGTGTGTGTGTTTATAGAAATAGACTTGTTTAAAGGGGTGAGCTGATTTAAAAGGATAGACAAGATTTAAAGGAACAATATTCCAGATATCTTCTGTGGGGAAAAAAAAGCCAAAAGGAAGGAAGAAGGGCCCTTTGGCCTTCGGGCGGTGAAAGGAAAAAGAAAAAAAGGGAAAATGTGTCCTGCAAGATAAGACAGAAGCACAAAATTGAAAAACTTAAGAATACGATGAATAACTGAGTATGGTAACATACCTACTGTCCTTGTTATTCCTCAGTGAAATGTTTCTGGATTTTTTTTTTTCTTTCGCCTTAACAGGAAAAAGCACAAAATTTTCTTAGGCTCCTTAGCAACAGTCCATTCCCTGTGGTTCACATCCGCAGTTCAAAGAATGGTTGAGGCCCCTGGAGGTCCTCTGAAACCATTTTGGAGAATCTGCAAGACCCTCTCTTTTCCATCTGTGTGTCTGCAAGGCTGGATTTTCTTCATATACTTCAGCCAAAAACAACATGTCATCAACAGATGAATGTAGAAACAAATACGAGAACCCAGCTGTCTTCTATTAAAACAGATAATAGAATCACAAAAATGTAAAACAGTACTACTCTTCACGCTTTTTTGTTTTAGAAAATAGTTATCTTTCTTAAAGAGTATTTAATTATATTAACAAAATGGGTTTATTACTGTAAGCCACTGTGCTGGGCCATATGTGTTAATTTTATAATTTATAAAAAACCTTAGATAAATTATATCTGCAGTATTTTGAAAAAATGTTGCATGCTTTCTTGCTTTCTGGTAGGGAAATAAGTATCCATTTGTCACCATTCCCAATCCTTGGGATAATGGAGTCCATTTTTATGACAGTTAAGACTTGAGAAGGCAGCTTATGGCCACAAACATGGGAGACATATTCAGGAATGCTTTATTCTCATACTTTATATTTTTCTTTTACTGTTCTAAGGAGGATGAGGGGGCAGTAAATAGTGCTTTCTTGGTCTATTTTGTATTGGTTACAGACTAGAAGCAGCCAAAGATGATTATCGAATACGTTGTGAAGAGTTAGAAAAGGAGATCTCTGAACTTCGGCAACAGAATGATGAACTGACCGCTTTGGCAGATGAAGCTCAGTCTCTGAAAGATGAGATCGACGTGCTGAGGTAAACAGTCTCACCTTCACCTTTACCTTCACTGTCCAGCACAGTTCGGCTGTGGTGTTAAAAACTCTGGGGTTTCTGAGCATCTAGCAAGATTAAGAGCCAGGCTACCCAGGCTGAGATCCCGGGTCTATTGTTTATGCAACCTCTGTATGATCATTTTCTCATCTGCAAAATCGAAACAATACACATGCCTACCTCAGGCTTATATAAGGAGTTGAGTGAATTTATATTTGTGAACACTTGCAACAGTGTCTGGCAATTAAGTGATACATATGTGTTTGTAAAACAGAAATTCTGACCATCTCTTCTTAATTGTACAGCTCTGGAGCTGTTCTTCCACCATGCCCACAAGGTCTCATTTTCTTGCTGGGCCTTGTTGTTATCCCTTCAGTTCTCTCATGAGGTGCCTCACTCCCTGCCACCTCATTTTTTCACTCCTCTCCTTGTGGAATGTCGTATCCCCTGTTGATTATCTTAACCATGTACACTTTTCCACTTTTGCTCTTTAAATACCGAGAAAAACAAGGGAAATGCATAATTGATAGTTTTGTGCTACTGCCAATTGGTGGCTTCCTTCTGAGCTGAGTTTTTCCCAATGGCCTGCCCTCCTCCTGCTTATTGTCTCACTCACAGCTATTACGATTCTTCAGGATTCTACTCCCCTGGCTGCTTTCCCTACACACCTCCCATGCCTTAGTCTCAATAGATGTCCTTGTCTCCTGTAGCAGGGAAGAAAGAGGCCATGAACTGCTGAACTCTCCATGTCTTTTGTCTCATGCACCACTAAACTTCCCTGCATTCCCACCCATCCTTTCTTTTTTGCTTAGAGAGTGCAGACCTGTTATTCCTCCCCTGTTCAGGGCTAATTCCTTTTTCAATGCTCTGTACTTCCACCCTTCTTGCCTGTGCAGGGACTGTGTTACATCAGTCCTCATTTCTTTTGCCTTTTGGATCTCACTCCTTTGTACATGTGTACACACACATTTAGGTCTCTTTACTCTTAAAAAGAGAGGGAGTTATTTCTCTCTCCTTCCCTCCCGAACCAAACTTAGATTACATAAGGTAACATTTATATTCTCCCCTCAACCCCACTGTCTGCCTGCACTGCCCCACTGAATCTGCCATTCTGGTGGTCACTGATAATTGCCAAATTATTTGGACACTGGAAAACTTAATTTTCTTTTGTGCCACATGTGACTCTGCTGGCTTCCCTCTCCTGCTTGGTTTTCTTAAATTATTACTGTCCATTATACATTTAGTTGTAATTTAGGTCATAATTTTTAACCTGTGCAGAGCATTAACCTGGAATCACTTTTGTCTTATAATTTCATTAGATGTGTGTTTTCTGCTCTCCCCTTCCTGGCTATCCCTCTTGTTTTAACACTGAAACAACTTTACAAGTGTGGATGTATTTCTGATTTTTAAATTTCCCATCTAATTCTAGACATTCTTCTGATAAAGTGTCTAAACTAGAAGGTCAAGTAGAATCTTATAAAAAGAAGCTAGAAGATCTTGGTGATTTAAGGCGGCAGGTTAAACTCTTAGAAGAAAAGAATACCATGTATATGCAGAACACTGTCAGTCTAGAGGAAGAGTTAAGAAAGGCCAACACAGCGCGAAGTCAACTTGAAACCTACAAGAGACAGGTAAAAGAAACACAGCGTCTTGATGTTGGCTTCAGGCAAGCTCTTCATTATAACATGTAGCTTACAAAAATTACTGACTTGTTTTCATGGTATTCTGTTTTTTACCTTTTCTTTATTGTATTTGTTTATTTAGAAGACAGAGTCTAACTCTGTCACCCAGCTTGGAGTACAGTGGCATGATCTCAGCTCACTGCAATCTCCACCTCCTGGGTTCAAGCAATTCTCCTGCCTCAGCCTCCCTAGTAGCTGGATCCACAGGTGCATGCTGCCACACCTGGCTAATTTTTTGTATTTTGGTATTGACGGTGTTTCACAGTGTTGCCCAGGCTGGTCTCGAACTCCTGAGCTCAATTGATTCACCCACTTTGGCCTTCCAAAATTCTAGGATTACAGGCGTGAGCCACTGTGAGCCACCGTGAGCCACCATGCCCAGCCTATTGTATTTATTTATATTTATCCTATATTTAAAGGGCTTTAAACTCTCTATAGCAGGTGCTTTTTTAAAACTTATTTTTATTTATTAATTTATTATGTAATACTTAAGAAATACATAAATGTAAAGGCATAGTTCAATAAATATTCATGCTTGAATAAAACATGCTGTCCCCTTACAGGCAGCTTCCATGCTGCAGTTTTCATTCCCAATTCGTCTCTCTATACCTTTGCTACATATATGTATTTATCCCTAAGAATTTATAGCATTTTGACATGTACCAAAACTTTATGTAAATGATACAGTGAAAGCACTCTTCTGTAATTTTCTTTCTTTTGCTCAGTGAGATTTGTTTATTATAATAGGTGTAGCTTTATAACATTCATTTCTGCTGCTGTATAGTATCCCAGTGAGTCTCTGTACCAAGATTTATCTATTTTCCTGTTAAGAGACATACAGGATGTTTTAGCTCTTTTTCTGTGTTAAAAGAAATGCCGGCCGGGCACGGTGGCTCACGCCTGTAATCCCAGCACTTTGGGAGGCTGAGACAGGCAAATCACGAGGTCAGGAGATCAAGACCATCCTGGCTAACAAGGTGAAACCCCGTCTCTACTAAAAATTAAAAAAAATTAGCTGGGCATGGTGGCAGGAACCTGTAGTCCCAGCTACTTGGGAGGCTGAGGCAGGAGAATTGCTTGAACCTGGGAGGCAGAGGTTGCAGTGAGCCAGGATGGTGCCACTGCACTCCAGCCTGGGCAACACAGCAAGACTCTGTCTCCAAAAATAAATAAATAAATAAGCCATATAAATAGTATTGTACAGGTCCTCTCCTATACATGTGTGGAAGGTTTTACAACTTGATGGAATTTCTGTCTAAGGGTATCTTCACTGTAGTTAGATATTATTGTACAGGGCTTCTCCTAGACATATGTGAAGGTTTTACAACTTGATGGAATTTCTGTCTGAGTATCTTCAATGTAGTTAGATATTAGCAGATTGTTCCTTAACGTGATTGTGTTACCAACGAGCAGTTTATATTCCTGTTGCTCCACGTTATCACCAACACAGTATTGGCAAACTTTAAATTTTGCTGGCCTGGCATAGCGTCTCACGCCTGTAATTCCAACACTTTGGGAGGCTGAGGCAGGAGAATGACTTGAGCCCAGGAGTTCCAGACCAGTCTGGGAAACACAGCAAGACCTGATCTCTAAAACTAATTTTAAGTTATCTGGGCATGGTGGCATGAACCTGTGTTCCCAGCTACTCAGGAGGCTGAGGTTGAAGGATTGCTTGAGCCTAGGCCTCAGAGGCTACAGTGAGCTATGATTGTACCACTGCACTCCAGCTTTGCTTTTGTGCCTCATGTAACTTTGCTGGCAACACGGGACATGCAAGACTTTGTCTTGAGTAAAGAAGAAATAAGTAAAATTTGCCAATTAAATGGGTGTAAAATAATGTCTCCTCTTAATTATACTTTGTGTTACCTTGATTGCAAATATATTTACTGACTGTATTTCTTTTGTAAATTTCTTAATCTTTTACCTATTTAAAAAATTGAATCTTTTTTTTTTTTTTTTTTTTTTTTTTTTTTTTTTTATTTTTTTTTTTTTTTTTTTTTCTTTGGATCTATGACCTGTCCTTTTACTTTTTTGAGGTTGATAATTTCAGTGTAATGAACTTCAAGTACTTTTTAAAAATGATTTGTAGTTTTTATGTTTTGTTTAAGAAATTATTTCCTAAATAAGGATATACGTCTAATCTCTATTTTTCTTACAAAGCGTTAAAGTTTGTTTTGCAAATTTAGGTCTTTAATCCACTTGGAATTAATTTTTATGTAGGGTGTGAGGTAGGGATCCCTTTGATACTCTGTCTGTGTGGATAACCAGTCAACCTACTGCCATTAATTAACAGTCCATTCTTACACAATGACCTGCAATTCTACCTTGTATATCTAAAGTGTCCATGTCACATATGGATTTATTTCTGGACACCATCTTCTGTTCCATTAGTATACTTATCTGTTCCTACACCAATACCACACTCATGTTTTACTAATTTTTAGCAATTTTGATAGGTGGTAGTGCAGACTCTCATACTTTGTCCTTTTTCAAAATTGTCTATTCTCAGCCCTTTGCTTTTCCTTTAAACTCCAAACTCTTGGGAATTGGAATTACATTGACTCTGTTGATCAATTTGGGGAGAGTTGTTCCTGTCTCAACATGATACCTTTCCATGGTCTTCCATTTCTTTGAGTTAAGTTTTATAATGTTCTTCTAAAGATTTTGTGCATATTTCATTATTCTTACTCTTAGGTACTTTGTGTTTTGGGTTGTTTTTTAAATGCAATTAGATAAAAATACCATTTTCACTTTATTGCTAATTTATGTGAATGAAATTAATTTTTATATGTTGATTCTGCAACCTTGCCAAATTCTCATATTGCTTCTGATAATGTCTGTAGATTTCTCTTGTCAGAGGGATATAGTAAACAAATAAAAGCAGTTTGTTTCTTCTTTTTTTTTTTTCCAAGACAGGGTTTCACTCTGTCACCTAGACAAGAGTGCAGTGGTGCAGTCATGGCTCACTGCAACCTCAGCCTCCTTCAAGCAATTCTCCTGCCACAGTCTCCTGAGTAGCTGGGATTACTGGAGTGCACCACCTTGCCCAGCTAATTTTTTGTATTTTTGTAGATACAGTGTTTCAACATGTTGCCCCCAGGTTGATCTTGAACTTCTGAGCTCAAGCAGTCTCCTCTCTTCGGCCTCCCAAAGTGTTAGGATTACAAGCGTGAGCTACCGTGACTGGCCCCTTACTCCATTTTCAATTTAGATTTCCTCTTTATATTTTTAAGTATGTATATTTTGTATCTGATAATTACAATATGAAATCCTTGGAGATCTTATTCTATTATTTTTGGTTGTTATTGCTGTTAATGTTTTCCACAGCCTTGTTCATTGTGGCATATTTCTTTATGGCCTTTATAATTTTGGATTTTGCTCTTTCATTAGCTCATCTTTACCTTGGGGAATTCTGAGCCTCATGGGTTGAGGTTTTGTTTCTGCAGTCAATATGTGTGTTTGTTTATGGCAGATTTTCCACAGCATCACCAACTAATATCCCTCTAATTGCTTGGCTTAGGTTTTCCCAAACAATGCAAGTAGTAAAAATTCAAACATAAGTCCACATATTATTAACAGGCTGTGGTTACAAACTCCCAGGTTCCCCTTTTTCTTTCATTATTACTTTTTTTAAAAGACAGGATCTCACTCTTTTCCAGGCTGGGGTGCAATGGTATGATCATAGCTCACTACAATCTTGAACTCCTTGGCTCAAGCGATTCTCCCACCTCAGCCTTCTAAGTAGCTGGAACTACAGACATGTGCCACCACACCAAGCTAATTTTTAAACTATAGAGATGGGGTTTCACTATGTTGCCTAGTCTGACCTCAAATTCTGGGTTCAAGCCATCCTCCCACCTCAGCCTTCCAAAGTACTGGGATTATAAGCGTGAGCCACTGCGCTTAGCCCCAAGTTATACTTTTTTAAACGCAAAGCACTCAGTTTATTGTTCCAGCTGATGAAATTTTTTTTTCTGATCCACCTATTTGCTACCTCTTAGAGCCTAAAGTGGTTTAACAACCACTCATCTCCTGTTAAAGCTCTAGGTTCCTGTTATCGGCAGTTGGTACTTCGTGGTACCCAGATTGTCTACATGAACTTCTCATTCTGGTTTTAACCTCTGAGTATTTCCCTTATTTTCTTGTAAGCTTAGCTATGCAATTGGATTCTCCCTGCCCCACCCTCACCCCAGCATTTATTTTGTTTTATACAAAAAGAATTTCAGACTACCCGATTATCTGTATTGCCGGAAATGAAAATTGTATAGATTCTTTTATGATTTTGAACATTGTTACTGTGGATGATTCTGGTTGGGAACCCATAGTAACTGGGCAGGATTTTATTCCTAGTTCTCTCCATTGGGCTAGGCTGCTGGATCACATGCATCTGAGTACTGGTGGGAATGGGTTTTGTTTTCTTAGACCTGTAGAAGAAAATGAGGATAATTTCTAATGTTTCAGATTATGTATAAGTAATGATATTTTTCTGTGTTAGGTAGTAGAACTACAAAATAGATTATCTGAAGAATCAAAGAAAGCAGATAAACTAGATTTTGAATATAAGCGGCTAAAAGAAAAAGTTGACAGTCTTCAAAAAGAAAAGGATGTGAGTATATGTATTAGGCATTTTGGTTTTGAGTACTGCTAAAATTAAGGCGATTATGTTTATGTTTGGCCACATTAATTACTTATGAATTTAAAAATAAGAAATCCTATTTATTTTTAAGCCATAGGAGAATTCTATTTGTGTTTCAGAAATAAAGCAAAAAAAGAAAGGAATATTTTTTATAATACTTTCGTTCAGATTTCTTTTTTATATAGTTATCGTTTCTACCACTGTTGCCTTCTTTACGTTGTTCTACTCATGACTTTTTTTTTTTTCCCTGCTCATGACTTTCTATAAGTTTGTTAAGCTTTGTTTTCTGTATGAAAACAAGAAAGTCCTGTATGTATAGAGGACTTTTTGTTGTTCAGCATATTTTAATCTTTTAAAAATATTTCTACTTTTTCATGATTTATGAATATTGTCTTTGTTCTTCAACCTTTTATGTCTAGTGAAAAGAATGTTAAGAAAGTAGTTACTAATTGTTAAAGATGGAGTAGACAGTTTGTTTCTTAAGTTTAACTGTGGATAGCATATTGCCTTGCACATAGTAGATATTCAGTATTATTAAATGGGAAGACTTGTTTTAATCTTTTCCTCTTTCTGTGATCTTTCCAAAAAAGAGCAAAAGGTAAAACATGTTCATGTTCACTATTGTTTTTTTTTACTGTCTTGATTGAATTATATACTATTGTTTATCTTTCTATTAGGTAAGGCAGAGAGGCCACTGATGAATAAATTCTTAAAACATGAAGCTAACCCTCCATGTTTTTGTCTCTCTCCAGAGACTGAGAACAGAAAGGGATTCTCTGAAGGAAACCATTGAAGAACTTCGTTGTGTACAAGCTCAAGAAGGGCAGCTCACAACTCAAGGTAAAAACGTTTTGGGAGCGCAAACCAGAAGACTTTTTTTTTTTTTTTTTTTTTTTTGAGACAGAGCTTGCTCTGTTGCCAGGCTGGAGTGCAGTGGCACCATCTCGACTCACTGCAACCTCAGCCTCCTGAGTAGCTGGGACTACAGGCACATACCACCACGCCCAGCTAAGGTTTTGTATTTTTAGTAGAGTCAGGATTTCACCATGTTGGCCAGGATGGTCTCTATCTCTTGACCTCATGATCCGCCGTCTCAGCTTCCCAAAGTGCTGGGATTATAGCCATGAGCCGCCATGCCCAGTCAGATGATTTATTTCCCGTGGTATACATAAAAATATTTGGTTCACTTGAACATGATTGTACCAGTAGATAAAAATGAAACATTGTGCCCACATGCACTCCTCCTCGAAAAGCTTGGGCCCTAGTGATTGCCTTTTCTTATTGGTCCAAATCATGGTGCAAACCCTCAGTCACTGAGCCAATTTCCAAATCAGTCACACTGGCTTTTTTGAGACGAACACGCATGAGGTGGAGAGACATCTTAAAAGTGGTTGGTTTGTCTTAGAAAATGGCCAAACCCAGGGAGCCTGTGCAGCTTCTTCCCATTCTGCGAGGATCGTGTCCCCTTATTTTTGACCTCTAAGCCTTGCGTAAAACAAGCCCCCTAAGGGATCGCCAGGAAGTCCGTCTGTTGGTGTGGATGCCGAATCCCGCTGTAGTGCCTGGCTACTGATTGGCCAAGAAAGGCCTCCTAGGCCCTCATTGGAGGATATGAATGCCCCTCCTTGGCCTGGCTACATGAAGCGGTGGTTCAGGTGAGAACAAGCAGCAGGCTAGGGAGTTGAGCTGTGGGTTGGGTGCATGCGGGAGTGGGAACCTCAGAGGCCAGGTTCTGGAGGTGTTGTAGGGAGGAGAGAGCCGGTATGTTTCTTAACAACGAAAGCACCACCAACCCCTCACCACTGCCAGGCTGCGACACCTGCCTGACCTGTATTCCTTTCAGGAGGATTATGTGCTGTTAGGGATTATTTTTGTTCCAGCCTTTGACATTGCTGTATTTCGTTTCTCAGTCAGCATTGATTTTTAAAACTCCTGGCCTAGTCTCTTGCCATGGACTCATTCATCCCCCAATTATTGAGTGCCTGCTGTTTGCCAGGCACTGTTAGTAGAGCTGGAGATACAAAACTAAATTAGGCAATTGTGGTCCAAAATTATAGGTGCTATAATTGAAACATGTGCAAGGGCTGGTAGTGACATAAAGGATCTTCCTTGTGGATAGGTTTACCCAGAAAGGCTTCCCAAAGACACGGGATGAGTCAAGAATGAATGAGAGGGCTTTAACAGGCCCATGAGAAAAGTGGACGTGACTTCTCCAGCTATCGAATTAGACAACACTGCCATGCTAATTCTCCAAACAAGAAACAAAAGTAGTGTAATAGAGGTATTCTAATACTTAAGATATATTTATTTATTTATTATTTTTTAAAATTCAAGTGCCATAAAAGAGGATTTAAGCCTAATTCCAACCTTGGTGTAAACTGCTTTGGGCAGACAATTTAAGCTTAGACCCTACGGTGCTATTCAGGTTAGGGGTTGTCAGTGTTTTGTAGAAAAGGGCAAATTTAGATTGGGCACGGTGGCTCATGCCTGTAATCTCAACACTTGGGGAGGCTAAGTCGGACAGATGGTTTGAGCTCACAAGTTTAAGAGAAGCCTGGACAACATAGCAAGACACCCTCCCCCACAAAAAAATTTTAAAAATTAGCTGGGCATGGTGGCATGTGCCTGTGGGCCCAGCGACTCAGGAGGCGAAGGTGGGAGGGTCACTTGAGCCCGGGAGGCAGAGGCTGCAGTGAGCTGAGGTCATACCACTGCATACTAGTCTGGGCAACAAAAAAAAGAAATGGGCCAACCAAGTAATAGGACAATTGCCCGGGCTGTGGTAAGGATGACAAAAACGAAAGCTTAATTGCAATTTGGGTTTTTTAAACCTACTCATGAAGCTTGTGTAAGAATGGTGTTTCTTACAGCATGGTGAATAGTGTTAGAGTCATCTGGGATGCAGATTCCCAGGTCCTCTCATGCCTACAACTCAGGGACTCTGGGGACAAGGCTCAGAAAGGTGAATTTTGAAATAGTTCCCTGGATGTTTTCTTTGTGTGCGTGCACATCAATGTTTTAGGCCGTCTGGCATTGGATAATGGAGACAGATGTAAAGTAAAATTCATTTCCTCACTTTGCATGTTCGGAGAACATATTTATATCTCACCTTTCTGTCATCCCCTTTATTATCAGTGTGAGATAGTACAGTCCTCAAGAAATGGGAATGAAATGACTCACAGAAAAAATTTCCTTAAACACTCTGTTGCCTGACACCCCTTATATAAGCGGAAAGGGGTCTGGGACCTCAGCTTCTAAAATGAGAACCATGCTAAGGATCAAAAATGGAAGAAACTTGGGGACCCCCTATCTAGTGAATACAGCCAACCACAGAAGGGCATGACAGTAGTTTCTTGGCTTGTTTGAGTTCCTTCTTACTTTACCTTGGTTGACCCAAAAAGAAACACAAAGCTGAATCACTTAGGTGGGCTGATGATTCCATATCATTCAAGCTTTCAATCACTCAGAAAAAAAAAAAAAAAAAAAGATGTGTGGAGATACCCCAAAACATATGTAGGTTAACTTTGTTGTATGCCTTATTTGATTAAAACAACCATTAGGCTGGGCGCAGTGGCTCACGCCTATGATGCCAGCATGGGAGGCAAAGGCAGGCAGTTCACTTGAGGCCAGCAGTTTGAGACCAGCCTGGCTAACATGGCGAAACCTCACCTCTACTAAAAATACAAAAATTAGCCAGCCATGGTGGCATGTGCCTGTAATCCCAGCTATTCAGTAGGCTGAGGCATAACAATTGCTTGAACCTGGGAGGTGGATGCCATAGTGAGCTGAAATAGCACCAATGCATTGCAGCCTGGGCGACAGAGCAAGACTCTGTCTCCAAAAAAAAGAAAAAAAGAAAAAAACTTAACCTTTAAAGAAGGCCCAACAAGATTCACAACTTAAAAAAAAAAGAACTGGTGAGTACCATCATAAACATAAGGTATCGTAAACATTGAATACCATCATAATGGGCTCTGCCACTATCTGTACGGCTTGATCTAGTAACTAAACTCTCCAAGACTTGGTTGTTCTGCAAAATGAGAATCATAACTTCTTTCTCCAGAGCCAAGGGAAGAGTTTTAGAGTTTTAGATGCTCTGAGTAATGCAAAGCACTCCCCAGTATGTAATTTTAAATGAAAATAGTATTAAATGTAATGTACAAAAAGTTGTGCTTTTTCCTATGTTGGCTGTAATACTCTGATAGTCTTTCTTAAGAAGATATCAGATAACCATTTTCTTTTTTTCCTTTTTCTTCCCCCCCCCTTTTTTTTCTTTGAGATGGAGTCTCGCTCTTGTCGCCCAGGCTGGAGTGTAATGACGTCATTTCGGCTCACTGCAACCTCTGCCTTCTGGGTTCAAGCGATTCTCTTGCCTTAGCCTCCCAAGTAGATTAGATTACAGGTGCCTACCACCATGCCTGGCTAATTTTTATATTTTTAATAGAGATGGGGTTTTGCTGAGTGTGGTGGCTCACGCCTGTAATCTCAGCACTTCGGGAGGCTGAGGCGGGTGGATCACAAGGTCAAGAGATAGAGACCATCCTGGCCAACATGATGAAACCCCATCTCTACTAAAAATACAAAAATTAGCTGGGCATAGTTTCAGGTGCCTATAATCCTGCTATTGGGGAGGCTGAGGCAGGAGAATCGCTTGAACCCAGGAGGTGGAGGTTGCAGTGAGCCAAGATCATGCCACTGCACTCCAGCCTGGGCAACAGAGTAAGGCTCAGTCTCAAGACAAAAAAAAAAAAAAGAGATGGGGTTTCACCATGTTGGCCAGGCTGATCTTGAATTCCTTACTTCAGGTGATCTGCCCACTTTGGCATCCTAAGGTGCTTGAATTACAGGCATGTGCCACCGCGCCTGGCTAGATAACCATTTGCTCTTGAAAAATTAGGGTGACCTAGTTTTGCCGGTGCCCTAAGCCCATACCTAGTGGCAGATAATTTAGTGCACTTAACACAATTGTTTCAAAGATTAAATAGAATATGGGCCAGGCATGGTGGCATGTGCCTGTAATCCCAGCACTTTGGGAGGCCAAGGAAGGAAGATTTCTTGAGGCCAGGAGCTTGAGTTCAGCCTGGCCAACATACTGAGACTCCATCTGTTTCTAAATATATATTCTAAAAATAAAAATAATGGCTGGCTGCGGTGGCTTATGCCTGCAGTCCCAGCTAGATGGGAGGATAACTTGAGCCCAAGAGTTAGAGGCTGCAGTGACCTGTAATCATGTCACTGCACTCCAGTCTGAGCAACAGAGCAAGATCCTGTCTCAAAGGACATGGTACATAATTGCACCTAATACAGTGACTGTCACAGTTGGAATCTGAATCTTTGTATGTCACGTAAAAGAAGTTTCATTTATTCACTCAACACAGTTACATGCCTATTATATGCAGATCACTGTGCTCCCTCTGACAAGGAGCTTTGATGTCAAACTTCATAGCCCGATATGAGTGGATTGATCCACTCCCTTCTTAACCACTGGAAATGTTGCGCTAATAAGCCTGTTTTCATTTGTTAAAAAATGAAAAATCGGTGAAGAGTCAGCTAAATTGGTAAAATTTTTGAACTGTTACCAGATTTTATGCCATATAGGCTATAGTTATGTGACCGATTTACTTGGCTACTTTAAAAGAATTTTTAAAAAATATTTGCATTTTATTTAGGTCAAAGTTATAAACATTTGTTGAATCATCTGTCAGTCTGGAGAGTTTTATTCTGAAAAATTTCTAATGACCTTTTTAAAAGATATCAAACTTTTTTTTCCCCCCCGAAACAGAGTCTAGCTCTGTCGCCCAGGCTGGAGTGCAGTGGCATGATCTCGGCTCACTGCAACCTCAGCCTCCCTTTTGTGTCATTTATGTTCTTTTCTAAGTTGGTTATTCTAGTTAGCATTTCATGTAACCTTTTTTCAAGGTTCCTAGTTTCTTTGCATTGGGTTAGAACATGTTCTTTTAGCTCAGAGAAGTTTGTTATTACCCACCTTCTGAAGCCTGCTTCTGTGAATTCATCAGATTCATTCACCATCCAGCTTTGTTCCCTTGCTGCTAAGCAGTTGTGATCCCTTGGAGGAGGAGAGATGTTCTGGTTTTTGGTGTTTTCATCCTTTTTTGTGCTGTTTTTTTCCCCATCTTTGTGGACCTGTAGTCTTTGTAGTTGGTGATTTTCAGGTGGGGTCTCTGAGTGGACGCCCTTTTTGTTGATGTTGAAGCTATTTCTTTCTGTTTTTTAGTTTTCCTTCTAACAGGCTTCTCTGCTGCAGGACTGCTGGAGGTTCACTCCAGACCTTGCTTGCCTGGGAATACCCCCAGGGACTGCAGAACAAACAGTAAGAGTTGCTGCCAGTTTCTGCTTCGGTTATCTTTGTCCCAGAAGGGTATCCACCAGATGTCAGCCAGACCTCTCCTTTATGAGGTGCCTCTTTGGATCTACAGGGGTTGGGGATCCACTTGAGGAGATAGTCTGTCCCTTATCAGGGCTCAAATGCTGTACTGGGAGTTCGGTTGTTCCGTTCAGAACTGCTGGGCAGGTATGTTTAAGTCTGCTGCAGTGGAACTCATGACTGCCTCTTTTCCCAGGTGCTCTGTCCTGTGAATCTGGGGCTTTATTTATAAGTTCCTGACATGCTACTCTGTTGCCTTTTTTCAGAGATGCCCTGCCCAGCAAGGAGGTAGTCTAGTTGCAGTCTGTCAGCAGAGGCGTTGCTGAGCTGCCGCGGGGTCTGCCCAGATGCTGTGTAAACTTCCTTGCAGTTTTGTTTACAGAGGTACAGTTAGAACTGCCTCGGTAATGGTGAGCTGCGTCGCTAATGGCGGGCTGCCTCGGTAGTAGCAGACTGCCTCAGTGGTGGTGGATGCCCTTCCCCCCACAGAGCTGGACCGTCCCGGGTCCAGCTGTACTTGCTGTGAAACTCCAAATCCAGAGCATTTCAAATTGCTGGTCTTTGTTGGGGTGGACCTGTCAAGCCAGATCACCTGGCTCCCTGTTTCAGCCCCCTCTTTTTCATTTGAATGGGCAGCTCTGTCTCCCAGGCGTTCCAGGCACCAGTTGAAGCAGCTGCCCAGATTTGTGTGAGTTTTTGTGCGGAAACCCGGGGTGCCAGCTGAAACAGCTGTGCTGGAAATTCATGGCGCTTTTTGGCCCAGGAATCTCCTGGTCTATGGGTGGTTAAAAACTGCAGGAGAGGCGGGGCGTGGGTGGCTCACGCCTGTAATCCTAGCACTTTTGGAGGCCGAGGCGGGAGTATCACGAGGTCAAGAGATCGAGCCCATCCTGGCCAAAATGGTGAAACCCCGTCTCTACTAAAAATACAAAAATTAGCTGGGCGTGGTGGCGTGTGCCTGTAGTCCCAGCTGCTCGGCAGGCTGGGGCAGGAGAATTGCTTGAACCCAAGAGGTGGAAGTTGCAGTGAGCCGAGATCACACCACTGCACTCCAGCCTGGCGACAGAGTGAGACTCGGTATCAGAAACAAAAACAAAAACAAAACTGCGCGAGAAGCAGCAGCATCTGAACCAGAGTGCTGGAGTGGATGTAAAAGCCCCTGATGGCCTCTGTTGGGTAGGGAAGGAGTTCCTCCAGGGATTGCACTTCCTGGGTGAGGCAGCACCCTACCCTGCCTTGGCTTGCCCTTCTTGGGCTACACCCACTATGCAAACAGTCCCATTGAGATGCATTTGGCACCTTGTAAATGCGGTGATAACTTACCCTCTGCGTTGCTCTCACTAGGTACTGCACTCCGCCGTCTTGGATCTCCCTCTCAGCCTCCCAAGTAGCTGGGATTACAGGCACCCACCACTGCGCCCGACTGATTTTTTGTATTTTTAGTCAAGACCTGGTTTCACCATGTTGGCCAGGCTGGTCTCAAACTCCTGACCTTGTTATCTACCCGCCTTGGCAAGCGTGAGCCACCATGCTCAGCCATATATCAAACTTTCTATATCAAGCCAGGAACAGTGGTTCTTGTCTGTAGTTTCAGCTACTTGGAAAGCCAGGTGGGAGGATCACTGGAGCCCAGGAGTTTGAGGTTACATTGAGCCAAAATTGTGCCACTTCACTCCAGCATGGGTGACAGAGTGAGACCCTATCCCTAAAAACAAAAACAAAAACAAAAAACAGCATCAACAAAAAGGACATCCACTCAGAGACCCCATCCGAAAGTCACCATTTACAAAGACCACAGGTCTTGCTCTGGGCTCGAACTCCTAAGCTCAAGCGATCTGCCCACCTAGGCCTCCCAAAGTGCTGGGAGATTACAGGCATGAGCCACCACACCCAGCCAAAAATAGTTTCTTATAAATGACTCAGTTTCAATTATTCTGTTATAAGCAATAGAAAATGGCCTAGGACACCCTCTTTGTGTATGTATCCTTTGATCTAGCACTTCTGCTCTTAGGAATTAAATTTACCCCAATGAATTAAAGCATTGTTTCTAATAGTGACATTTCAAAACAACCTGAAAGTTCAGCAATACAGGAATAGTATTCTTAATCAATGGTATACAGTAGAGCCATTTAAAAGAATAAGGTATATTTTCTATACACCTGACAGAGAGATATGTATGTTACATCATTACATTTAAAAAGTAAGGCTGGGCGCAGTGGCTCACACCTGTAATCCCAGTGCTTTGGGAGGCCAAGGCTACCAGATCACCTAAAGTCAGGAATTTGAGACCAGCCTGGCCAACATGGTGAAACCTGTCTTATGTAAAAATACAGAAAATTGGTCAGGCTGGGTGGCAGCCTCCTGTAATCCCAGCTACTTGGGAGGCTGAAACAGAAGAATTGCCTGAACCCAGGAGGCAGAGGTTGCAGTGAGTCAAGATTGTGCCATTGCACTCCAGCCTGGGCAACAGAGTGAGACTTGGTCTCAAAAAAAAAAAAGTAGGGGAGGGAGAAATAGGGAATTATTGCTTAATGGTTATAGAATTTGTGATTTGGATGATGAAAAAGTTTAGAAAATCAGTAGCAGTGATGGTTACACAACATTGTGAATATACTGAATGCCACTCTATTGTACATTTAAAAATGGTTAAAATGGTAAAATGCTAATACTTAATAATATTTTAAGGCCACTGTGACATGGTCTTTTACTTGAGAAAATGATTTTTGCTGATAAAATTAATACTCAAAGTAGGATTTCATACTGAAGTTGTGTGACTGTGTTTTCAGTTAGCCTTATATTTATGTTTGTATACTTACAGGGTTAATGCCTCTGGGAAGTCAGGAGTCTTCAGACAGTCTAGCTGCAGAGATTGTTACACCTGAAATCAGGTAAGGAAATTGTGGTGTTCACACACTGAACAGTATTCCTGGAGAAAACTTACTTCTCTATAGTAGGAAGAGGATCATTTCCTTATTCTTTCTCACTGACACTTTAAACATGAATTCAGTGTTTATGTTTTTATGTTTTCAACATGTTGGGGTTCAGGGGAGCCCTCAGTTCCCCTGAGAGGATGTTTCTCCAGGTTCTTGGTCTATCACTCCCCAAGAATGGGAGAGGAGACCACGGCGCAGTGCACTTATAAAAGTGAATGCCAAACTCAAAAGTATTAGTAGAAGTGATTTATTTAGGCAGAGAGAGAAAAAAGAGAAGAAGAGAGAAAACTTCCAGGAAGAGTGTATGGAAGCGGGACCCCAGAGAGGAACTCCAGGAAGGGAAAGAGAGCTCCCACTATGTGGGAGGGAATTCCAGAGAGCTGGAAATGCGGTGTGGGTGAAGGAGCAGGGGAATTTATCCTGGGAGAAATTCCCACCTCCTCAAGTTCCTCTGGCCAATGAAAGGAGTTCCTTTAAACCGCTGGGGTGATGGACTCTTAGTTTCTTCCCACACCCGCAAAATTTAAACATAAACCATTAAATCTGGGGGATGGAGAGAGATGGGAGGGGGTCATGGCGCGGGGAAGTTCTTGCACTTAAAACTACGCCCCCTTGTGGACCTGGAAAGAGAACACATTCCTTCAATGTTGGAAGCTTTCTTCAACTGGGCCTACAGAAAATTGAGTTGCTCACTTCAGTAAGACAATCTTTCACACATAACATAGCTAGCAATCATGTCCTGAGCTTGAGTAAACTCAGCAAACATTAAGCAATGAAGACACTTGGCCTGTAGACAATGGTTATGTTTAGCTATCAGCATGCAGAATCATTAGTTACTAAGATTTATCTGCTAACCCCATGGAAAGGTCTGGGAAAGGTACAATGCTATAGACAGGAGGAAATGACTTCCTACCTTCAGTACTCTTTCCTCAGTAATACCATATATTTTTAATCACAGCATTTAAAAATTCCATTTATTTATTTATTTAGAAAGGCAAGGTCTTGCTCTGTCACCAAGGCTGGAGTGCAGTGGCACAATCACGGCTCACTGCAGCCTTGACCTTCTGGGCTCAAGCAGTCCTCCTACCTCAGTCTACTTAGTAGCTGGGATCTTAGGCATGTGCCACTATGCCTGGCTATTTTTTGTAGAGACTGGGTTTTGCCATGTTTCTTAGCCTGGTGTTGAACTCCTTGAGCTGAAATGATCTGGCCACCTTGCCTTCCCAAAGTGCTGGGATTACAGGCGTGAGCCACTGCACACAGCCAGTTCCTTTTTTATTTTTATTTTTTTGAGACAGAGTCTTGCTCTGCAACCAGGCTGGAGTACAGTGGTACGATCTCGGCTCACTGAAACCTCCAACTGGTTCAAACGATTCTCCTGCCTCAGCCTCCCAAGTAGCTGGGATTACAGGCACATGCCACCACACCCAGCTATTTTTTGTGTTTTTAGTAGAGACGGGTTTTCACCATGTTGCCTAGGATGGCCTCAATCTCCTGACTTCGTGATCTGCCCACCTCAGCCTCCCAAAGTGCTGGGATTACAGGTGTGAGCCAGCGTGCCCAGCCAGTTCCATCTATTTTTATGCATAACTAGCTTTATATATAAAAATGAAAAGTAAGCCGGGCACCATGGCCTGTAATCCCAGGGAGGCCAAGGTGGGCAGATCACCTAAGGTCAGGAGTCGAGATCAGCCTGACCAACATTGAGAAACCCTATCGCTACTAAAAATGCAAAATTAGGTGGGCTTGGTGGCACATGCCTGTACTCAGAAGCTACTTGGGAGGCTGAGGCAGGAGAATTGCTTGAACCTGTGAGGCGGAGGTTGCAGTAAGCCGAGGTTGCGCCATTGTACTCCAGCCTGGGTAACGAGTGAAATTCTGTCTCAAAAAAGAAAAGTGGGGTAGGCAACAAGTGTCCATTAAAAGGAGAATGATTAATTCTGAATATTGCTTTTTACCTTTTTGTGGCCTATTTGCCCCTTTTTAAAATGGACACTGGCCTTGCTTCTTCATAAACTCCTTGGGGGATATGAAATAACAATCGTGTAAGGGTTTCATGCACTGTAAAAGTTGAAATAAGCATTCAAATACTTGTTGAATAAATGGAGACAGTTTGTAGTTGTTGGTTAGCATTTGTTTAGGAAGGACAAACAGGCTGGGCAAGGTGGCTCACACCTGTAATCCTAGCACTCTCGGAGGCCCAGCTGGGTGGATCACCTGAGATCAGGAGTTCGAGACCAGCCTGACCAACATAGCGAAACCCTGCCTCTACTAAAAAATACAAAATTAGCTGGGCATGGTGGTGCATCCCTTTAATCCCAGCTACTCAGGAGACTGAGGTAGGAGAGTCACTTGAACCCAGGAGGTGGGGATTGCAGTGAGCTGAGATTTTGCCATTGCATTCCAGCCTAGGCAACAAGAGCAAGACTGTGTCTCAAACAAATAATAATAAGAAAGACAGACGAAAGGAGTGTAAGGTAGCACCAAGTCTGGAAGTATCTTGTATGCCTTTTTCTTTTCTGACATCTGATATGCTACTTTATAATTGAACCAGTAAGATTTGTTGAATAAATGAACACATGTTTTTGAACATTTATAAATAAGTGGTTATGTCCAAAACAATCCACAGTTTTTAAGGAAGCTTATTGGTAATACAGTTGGTTTTTTTAAACTAAGAACAATGATAGGCCAGACACCGTGGCTTACACCTGCAGTGCCAGTGCTTTGGGAGGCTAAGGCAGGCAGATCACTCTAGGCCAGGAGTTTGAGATCATCCGGACCAACATGGCAAAACCCCGTCTCTACTAAGAACAAAAAAATTAGCTGGGGCCGGGCGCGGTGGCTCACGCCTGTAATCCCAGTACTTTGGGAGGCCGAGGCGGGTGGATCACGAGGTCAAGAGATTGAGACCATCCTGGTCAACATGGTGAAACCCCGTCTCTACTAAAAATACAAAAAATCAGCTGGGCATGGTGGCGCATGCCTGTAATCCCAGCTACTCAGGAGGCTGAAGCAGGAGAATTGCCTGAACCCAGGACGCGGAGGTTGCGGTGAGTCGAGATGGTGCCATTGCACTCCAGCCTGGGTAACAAGAGTGAAACTCCGTCTCAAAAAAAAAAAAAAAAATTAGCTGGACGTGGTGGCACATGCCTATAATCCCAGGTACTCAGGAGGCTGAGGCATGAGAATCATTTGAGTCTGGGAAGCAGAGGTTGCAATGAGCCAAGCTGGCACCTTGGCACTCCAGCCTGGATGACAGCTAGATTCTGTCTGCAAAAAAAAGAATGATGATAAAGATTCAACAAATATGACTTTTCTGAGTATGACTAGATACAAATTAAAATTGGCTCTATGTTCAGAAGAGAGCTATCAAGGAAAAATGATAAACTGGGGTGAAAATTTTGCAACATGTTTTAGACAGTGGGTTAATATTTGATATGCTTTATTTATGTTAAGGGTGTGGACAAATTGGAAATCTCATAAGCTAAGGAAAAAACATTAAAGTGGTAAGACTTTTCTTTTGAGGAGATTGACAGGATGTGTCTGTTTAAAAATGCACGTATCTTTTGATACAAAAATTACTTTTCTGGGAGTTAATCCTAAGGAAATAACTAAGGATATACAGAAAAGTATATTTATAAAGCTAATCTTGGCCGGTCACGGTGGCTCATCCCTGTAATCCTAGCACTTTGGGAGGCCGAAGCAGATGGATCACTTGAGGTCAGGAGTTTGAGACCAGCCTGGCCACCATGGCGAAACCCTGTCTCTACTAAAACTACAAAATTAGCCGGGCATGGTGGCACATGCCTGTAATCCCAACTACTCAGGAGGCTGAGGAAGGAGAATTGCTTGAACCTGGGAGGTGGAGGTTGCAGTGAGTCAAGATCTCGCCACTGTACTTCCAGCCTGCACTACGGGAGCGAGAATTCATCTCAAAAAAAAGAAAAAAAAAAGGTCTTATTAACTTGTTTAAAGCTCAAAATTGGTAGCAATCTAAATATCCAAAAATTGGGCATTTATTAAATAAGTAACGATTTTAATGCCATGTCATTTAAAATATTCAAATATATTTAATGATATAAAAAGATTGTGAAATTTTAGGTGTAAATAGCAGGCACCACTGTAAAAAGTACTGTGTGATTCCATTTGTGTGTATATGTGCATAGAATTAGAAGGCCATATTTCAGCAGTAGTCATTTTGCACCATAGTTATGGAGGATTTATATTTTCTTTG